TTAGTCTCTCACCACTTATCAACGGTTCAGTAATCACAACTTTCAAGGTTGGCCCTCTTTTGCGGCCACGTCGAGTGGCTGCTCCGTGATGTTATAATTAGCTGCTGGGATTTTACGTGGGAAAACAGTGACACGTTTGGGAGAAACACTGGCCGTGTTGGTCATATGCTGCTGGTCTACCGACTGGGAAGTCGCGAGATTAAATTCCGACAACGGTGACCACATTTCGATTGATGAAGGCTAAATTCTGGGGGCCCGTGTGCTTAGGTTTAAGTGCATGGTAATGAACCCCAGATTGTCTCAATTCTGGGAGCCTTCCACTATAGAGACATTTCGTGACTTGTGATGTAAAACCATAATAACTGTTATTTACTACAACGCATGCACAAGTGAGGAACTCCGATATAACTGATTACCCACAGCGCACCTCAGTCGAAGTATAGCGCAGCTTTGTATGTCGCCCCCCGTCGAAACGCAGTAGCAATGACGTTTAATCGATTCCGCGTCGGCGAGCGAAACAGCGCGAGCCCTTTTGATTAGCCGGAAATTAAAAATAATATTGATCAAGATTCCAACGATCTGTCCACAAAGAGTTGACAAGTACAGTGTATTTTATGCTTGTTATAACAACGAAATATTTGCAACCTTGTGCAATAATATTAAAGTTACTGTGCAATTTCATATTCTGTGCAGTGGTAGCGGCGAGACCCACCAGCGCCGTCGGCGCCTATCACAACAAGAACCCTTAACCGGTTCATGCGCACTTTGAGACCTACGCTAACGAGCCCGGAGTAGCGGATATTATAACACACCTCAGCCAGAGGCAATAGCAGTGACATGTGGCAATTATTCGAGTGCTGCTTTGGTGGGTTTACTAATGCAGGCTGATGACTGAGGAAAAGCTACCACAAAACAAAGGCACACACAAAACCAGATGTTCACTTAGCTATTGCAATACTCCCTATTCTAGTGTAGGTACTGTAAGCTCACTGTGCTACCTTCTTATGTCGCTGTAGTGTTCAGCTCTCGGTGAAGCTGCCCAAATGGTACTAACGACACCATCAAAAACTGTGGTGACGCCTTGTTGCTGGAAAGTCACAATGGGGTCAAAGGCTCAGGTAACGCTATATATAAGCTACATGTTGACTGGAGCCAGCATCACACGGCACTAAGTGAGTACAAAATGGTTACAGGCACCAGTTCTTTCCTTTGAACTCATAATTTTCATAGCTTTTTTCAATGCATCTATCTTCAAAATTCTTTCATTGTGATTGTAATTTCATGCATTCTTGAGGTGCCTTTCCGTCCTCGCAGTGAGGCTCTGTATAATGTCGAAAGCTATTGTTTCTCCCCGTGCTTCGTATGTTCTGGATGCGACAAAAAGCATGCGACCGGAGAAAAAACACCCTAGCCGCATTTCGTTAATTTAAAAGCTTGTGGTGTGGTTGCTCACCATCGGTCCTTATCAGCTGACTGCTCACACGTGTTTTGTTCTCACTAAAACGTCTGCGTTGTCGAAGCATTGAATGGTTGCTTAGCGAGCTGCAGCGGCCACGTTACCTTAAGCCTGTGATTCGTTGATTTACGCCCGCTGATATGCTAAAGTGAGCTGCCGCCCTTATTTCGTATAATACGCCACTTTATTGCTATTGCAGCGATTGCTCACTCATGGGGCCAAACATTCTGTGACCGGTCGTAGTCGCTGCAAAGTGAACTCAAGACAACCATTTTACCGCCTTTTACTTGCCTTCGAGACTCAATAAGTCTACAGTTAACTTTTTTTCCCTATCAAGTCCGCTGTTTTATTACGAAAGAACTTTCCCGGCACGACCCAAATGCTTGTATACCATCACTTGTGCGTGCTTGAGAGTGTATACAGGTGCTGATAAATATAATGTTGAATTCCAACAGCATATCGCGAGCGTCAAGCTGGATCGTAAACGGAGCTTCTAGATCCGAGCAGGATTTCTTTCACAGAATCTGGGAATGGGAAGCATGCTTGTGAGGGGGCATTAGGGGGGGACAGGGACGAAGCGTTTTTCTTCTCGTCCGTGGCTTCCCGCGATTCTAAACATCCGGCCGTTGCAGATGAAAGATGGGCTCGCAGACTGCGCCGCGCGAACTTCCAGTAAAACCCGCCTATTTCGGCGGAACGAGAACTCTTGGTCCACGGAGCGATCCGGAATCTGCGGTTGCTCTCAATTTGCACTCGCGATCTGCCATTGGAATATTATTCCTCTACTCGGAGCAGAAAAAGTTAATCCGAATCTGCCATTAGAATCCAACAATAGGTATATCGCTGCTTATTCGAAGAGGATGGTATCACGCATAAACAAGTCACGGTGGCATGGTAGCCAAGTAGTTCCAAGTAGTTGTGGTGTTTGACTGCTGCTTACAGGTCGGGAGATCAAAACCAGTGATGGTCGTAGTTTAAACGGAGGCAAAAACACTAGGAATCAATTTGCTTACCGTCGCCACACCCCAGGTGACTTGTTTACCGTAGCCACACCCAAAGTGATCGAAATTTTCAACGCCGATCACTATGGTGGCTTTCATAGTAATATCGTGGTTCGGGGACATCCACTCCATCAATAATATTATCGCGTATACATTGGATGTAAGTGCAAAGAAATTACAGTCCTTGGGCACTTCTGTATCTTGACTACGTTAAATGATCCAAACACTCTCAGAAACGGAGCAGAAAATGTCCCAGAATACGAAGTGTATTTCTCGAGTGTAAGTAAGCAGATTGATTGATTTGTGGGGTTTAACGTCCCAAAACCATGATATGATTATGAGAGACGCCGTAGTGGAGGGCTCCGGAAATTTTGACCATCTGGGGTTCTTTAACGTGCACCCAAATCTGAGCACACGGGCCTACAACATTTCCGCCTCCATCGGAAATGCAGCCGCCGCAGCCGGGATTCGAACCCGCGCCCTGCGGGTCAGCAGCCGAGTACCTTAGCCACTAGACCACCGCGGCGGGGCGAGTGTAAGTAAGCAGTTTTCTGTACATAAACCCTCTCACAAGAGAAGCTTAACACTATCAATTACCAGGCACGGTGATGATAATGGGATAATAAAGAGAAACAATATGTTTCTTTTAGATTGCTAAACTGCGCTCTGGGAACAGTAATGTCACAAGTTTCACGGTCATAAGTTCATGATTAGCGGAGAAAATCAAGGTTGAAGTTTCATGTTTAATTATCGCGCCGTAATCGCCACTCGTCACGTCAGGAATTTTTCGGTGGAATTGGCTCGGTGAACTTTTTTCGAAAAATCATATGCTCTGCCTATGGCCCTCACTAGTTACGATGTACTTCAATATTATTGGTTAGAAGCTTCGTAGAATCCACTGGACGCCTTAAAATATTGATGATGTCACAGTGTTGGGGGCGGGAATCTTAAGGTGGCGTCGCCATCTCATTTTCTTTTCGCGCGTTTTCTCGCTTACTAAGCGTCTTGTCGCGGTGAATGTGGTGTTTTCGGGATCCCAAATTTATACTTTATAAATGCGCAAAAATCGATTTGCTCTTCAATGTTCCTTTCGATCGGACCTGTCTGGCCTCATGTTTAGATTCCAGCGCATTTCCAATAGTTCAACCAAATATTCAGAATGACGGTGGCACAGCGATGACCTTCACAGCGCCGCAGATTTCTCGCGTTTTATTTCATTGAGAACGTATCATCGATCATACTGTATTCTCATCTGGATATATAGGCTCAAGTTTTTTCTACCTTATGGAAGCATGTGCAGTCGCACACTTGTATGGTCTCATTAGAACGTTTAGCCGGTAGCGAGTTTAGTAAATTTATTCAAGATCCTGTCATTGCTTTTCCACACACGACGTTGAACATGTCTCTTTTTTCTAGTGGTTTTAGTAGACCCCTACGTACCTGGCCTTCAAGCGCACTCATTTTACAATCACGTAAACTGTGTAAGAATGTTTCAGAAGTTCGCACTCTCCACCCGCCATGACGGACAGCGCGACGAGATTGTGTTTGGTTGTATTACATGTGTCGGCCGCAACTGCGTAGAGGCAGTAGCAGTGTGGAGGCCCAAAAGGCGTTAAGAAGGGGCGCTATACAGCGAGTCAAAGATGCGGCCGGGAACGTGCCCTCATCCGGTGATGTAAGTTTTTGAAAGATGATAGCCTTTCTATGGGGTACATTGAAGCAAAAAATTTAGTTCGTCCGTCGTAACAATGCCCCGAACGGCACGAAGCAACACGCCAAAAGGCCGACGCCATCCTCAGCGCCCACCAATATGGCCCTCATTTCAGCATTCATACTTGCGCGATTGTCAATTCAAAAGCAATTATTGCGCATATCTGAGGCACCAAAACAACACGTCAATATTTTGTATGTGTGGCTTTATACTAAAGAAGGCACACATATGTAATTCTAAGGACCGTAGCATTTATCACGCTGCGCTGACAGTGCAACGCGTTGCTCAATAAGACAAGTATTTCGAACGTTTTGATTAGAGGACACGGTGGTGGCACCTGCCCTTCGCTTTACGTTCTACACTTAATCGCCTCTGAGAGAGGCGCGCATCTTTCTGCGTGGGTGCGCACATCTTCCTTCGTTTTCGAAGATAACTGCTACATAGCGCTCGCGTCTAACGTTCCTTGATGCGCTCGTTAGCATTCGTTGCACAAATCTAGACTCTCTAACGCCGCGCTTCGAGAATAGAATTCACAGATTTTGTTGCGCAGAACATCAAATAAACGTTTTGTTCACTCTCTTCAGGCACAAGACTATCGTCTTTGAGCGACATTTGCAATGAAACATGCAGATACGGGGCGATTTTTTTTCTTCCTTCGGATAACGCAGAAGTTTTTGGCGAAGTTGTTGACAAGGAAGTTTCGAAGTGTTCTTCATGCGTTAGCATGCTGGATATTACATGTACGAACTATCTGCGCTTGTGCTGATGGCTGTTTTTTTTATAATTCATTCTCAGTTTTACTGGCTAGAGCTTGGCTGAATGGCGTGCCCACCTGGACGTCTGAGTCACTGTTGGCTTCGGTCTCGACAGGCACAGGAGCGAGTGGATCAGAAGAGGCGGTTTGGGCAGCTGGGCTCATCAACGCTGAGCTCACGCTCAAATTTGGTACAGTTTCTACGGCAGGTGCGTCCATCATTTGATCTCTCTCGGACGATTCTGCGACCGCCTTTTGTGGGCTGACAGCCAACCTGCGACCCATCTGCGAGTCGGTGCGTGCATGAATTAAGTAATGTTGTGGTGCGTTCTAAGGAAGAGTATCCAAAAGTAATTCGGCATAAATATATTGACCCATTGAAGGCAGATTGCAAATTCGTTATTGCTTTAAAAAGGCAATTTTCTCAGCTGTGGCTTTGATATTAGTATTTTTGCATGGCGATGACAATGAAGAAAATAGCCGTGGAGCTTTTAAAGTTGAAACTTTTCGTGGGTGAACTTGTGTCAACGAATATAAATGAAAGTACCAGTGTGCTCCAATTTGGGTGCACGTTAAAGAACCCCAGGTGGTCTAAATTTCCGGAGCCCTCCACTACGGCGTCTCTCATAATCATATAGTGGTTTTGGGACGTTAAACCCCACATATCATCATCAGAAATGAAAGTACGAGCAATCCATCTGTGCACTGATTGCGGCAATCACAGTTGTCGGCCGTTGGAAGTTTGATAAGTGGTTGGTGCTTTGGCATTTATACATTCACCACAAATGCTTTTATTCATATCATTGCCCTCTGCTTTTCTTGCAGAATAAACTGCACTGTTGTCATTGCGCATTTAAGCTTATCACAGCATTCTAAAAAACACTCAGTCTGTGCGTAACACACAGCAGTTACAGCAAACTCTGGAAGAGCAGTCTTTTTGAAGCTCTTTGCAAACTCTCTTGGCAGCAACTACTACAAGTATAATTGGGTGGCACCTACTAGGCCATCAACCACAATAAATTTGAAGCAGGGAAACATTCACTACACCATTATTTGTTGTTCTGCAAATAAGCTAGGTAACGGCTAAACTCTGCAAAAGCGCATTCACACCTATCGTGGAACTGGAAAGTGGAAGTGGATTATCTGCAAAAGCAGAAGACCCACGGTTGCTTGGCCGAAGCGTGTCTGGACCAGTTTTTTCTGCGTGTGAAAGTTGGCGTCTTTGGCCGCAGCTAACAGGGCCCGTGACGCCCGTGTGCAGTATCGCGTAGTGCCGCCAAATGGTGACATACCCTCCGCGAATAAGAGGAATGCTCCCTCCATGCCGTGAAGAAGGCAGAAGGTCACAAGCGCGCCCTCACACTGTACTCCGATTTGAAAATTCGCTTACGTGCACCGCATTCGGCGTGAACGTGCTTTGTTGCTTCATGTTGACTTTTTGATACGGTGGCTGAATAATTGTGGATGAGGCCTTCCTAATGGGTTGCATGGTTCAAACGGTCATAATATATGGTGCGAGCGGGTTGAAATGTGTAAAAACAAAACAGTACGCCGTGCGGTGGCGACTGTGTGGCCTTTTCATCGTGTGCGCCGTGCGGGTGCGAATCTCGTACGTGCCGTGCGGTGGCGAAGAGGACGGCGATCGTGTGCGCGGCGTCTCTCGAGACAGCGTGGGTCGTGCACGAGAGTCGGAACTGCAAGGCTGGGCTCTCCTTCGCTGGGCGTCCGGTCCATGGGAGAACCCGGAGCCCTACCTCCTGCTGCCTCAACTTAGAGCGCTCCCGCCTGTTCCGCTACGAGGAGATCGGGCCAGGGAACGTGCACGAGGCCGGGCCAAGGTCTTGACGCTGTGGGCAGACGGGCACACTCAGGGTTCGGCCCACGAACACGCACAGGCCGAGGGCGTCCACCGTGGAGCGGCTCCCTTGGGCGCAGAGTTCCGGCATCAACAGCCACAGAGTGGACCTTCTTGACTTCACGCTACCAGACCAAACACCGAGCTACGGAATCGGACAGATGGTCTACGCACGGGGCTTTCAACTCGGCAACTTCGTCGGCTCCGACAACAAACTGTACGCTACTGCTTGACTATTTCGCGTAACAGCCCTCATGTCAAATTTAACTGTTTTTCTCTATTTGCTGAGTCTTGTCATGTGTGTGAAGGTGTCTTACGCGTGTTTGTCCACCTGCGTGCTGCGTTATTCTTTCTGGAGCGAATCCTGAACCCACGTTAACATCACAAACTGGCGAGCCTGCCAGGATTCGCTCAGTAACAGCGGTTTTGCTTGTGTAACAGCACACGTTCGGACTTCAACATGGACTTAAAAAAGCTTACCGCTGTAGGGATTCAACTCGGGCTGACAGGCGCAGAACTGAGCAGGTGGATCAAGTATCAGCAAGCAAAACAAAGGGATGATAGAACTGTGGAACGAGAGGCACTGAAAGAGGCTGCGGAGACAGCGCACTTAGCTGATGAGAGGCAGCGTGAGATCCTCCAACTAAAGCTACAGCTTCAGGAAGGAGCTCGGAATGTACCGGCTTCAGCTAATGACGTTCTGCCGGTATCAAGCACTTCATCACCGCTTAACCCGCAGAAATTACTTCCTCTCTTTGACGAGAAACGCGATGAATTGCACGCGTACTTGCCAAGATTTGAGTGAGTAGCAGCCGGTCAGGATTGGCCACGAGAGAAATGAGCCCTGGCTGTGAGTATGTGCCTCACGGGCGACGCCTTAACTGTGATCGGTAGGATGACTGCCGCCGATTTATTGGACTACCAGGAGATGAAGAAAGCCTTGCTGCAAATGTTCCAATTTACGACGCAGGGTTACCAAGACAAGTTTCGCAAGGCAAGAGTTGCGGACGGCGAAACTGGAACGCAGTTAGCCGTGAGAATTGCGGGCTATTGTGATCACTGGGTCGACATGGCCAACGTGTCGAAAACGTACGAAGCGCTACGTGTACATATAATCTCCGAGCGATTCCTACGCTGTTGCCAACCAAAACCAGTCATCTTCTTAAAGGACCGAGAGGGCAAATCGCTTGACGAGCTTGCTAAACTAACTGATCGCTTCCTCGAAGCACGGAAATTGCCGAACATCAGAAAAGATCCCGATACGGGAAAGGATTTTGGTGAGAAACCTAATACAGCACCACGTAAACCGCAAGTGAAGTGCATGCTCTGCAATCGACTCGGCCATTCGGCCCCCGACTGTCGCAGCCAACCTAAAGAATTGGTAAGGTGCAAATCGTGTTGCATATCGGGACACGCGGCTGAAAATTGCAGAGGTCAGCGCGCAGACAACAAACCGACTTCGTCCAGTGCATTCACAGAAACACAACTGACTGGACCTCGTCAGGGAAAAACATCAAAGTGCCCACGAAAGCAAAGTAGCCGTTCAAGTAATGACGACGAGAGCAGGAAACCCGCTGTACCTTTCCTAAGTGACTGGATGCCAGTAGTTGAAGGGTGATTGCAAGGACGAAAGGTTCGCGTGCTTCGGGACACAGGCAGCAATACAGCAATTGCCAGGCGAGAGTTGATTCCTGAAGAGTGCTTGACGGGCAACAAGAAGCAGTGTCGTTTTGCTTGATGGCTCAAAAAGTCGCCTCCCCGAAGCGATCGTACTAGTGAAAACGCCTTACTTTTCAGGCAGTATAAAAGTGGCTTGTATGAACCAACCACTGTACGATGTGGTTATAGAAAACCTTCCAGGTGTCAGAGGACCATACGATCCTGATTCGGACTGGGAGCGAGCAGATGCGGCTCAGGAAGTGTGGAAAGAAATGAACATGACCAGGAACCCTCCGCAGGTGTCAAGCGCCGCTAAATCTAAAGCTCCACAACAAAAGCAAAGCAAGATGTGTCTCTTGTACGACCCGGAGGTTTTGTCGAGTGACATCACAAAAGCGCAACTCATTGAGGGACAGCAGAGTGACCCAAAAATAGAGTCGTTTTTTAGTAAAGTGATCAGAGAATTTAAATCGGGAAAAGGTCACGGCTATGAATTCGTGGAAGAAAATGGAGTGCTCTACCGTCATTACCGCCTTGCAACAGGCAGAGCATTTAAGCAGGTGGTAGGTCCAAAGGCGTTTTGACGAAATATTTTAGAAGTTGCCCATGAAAACATCATGACTTGGCATCAGGGAATCAAAAGAACAACCAATCGTATTTTGCAAGAATTCTTCTGGCCTGATATTCACGGAGATGTAAAATGCTTCGTGAAATCATGTCACATATGTCAACGAACAACACCTAATGGAAAAGTAGGAGTCGCTCCATTGGGCAACATACCTCTCATCCGCACACCTTTTGAAAGAGTGGCAGTGGATCTGATCGGCCCCTTCTCACCAATGTCAGATCGGGGGAACCAATACGTTCTGACCTTAGTTGGTTTCGCAACTAGGTATCCATGGATGCTGTAGCACTTCCCGCAATTGATGCCGTTCATGTTGCAGAAGCGCTCATCCAAATGTTTTCCCGCATTGGTTTACCCAAAGAAATAGTCACCGACCAGGGAGCAAGCTTTACCTCCGACTTAATGAAAGAGGTTAGTCAGCTTGTCTCCGTGAAGCTTCTTAAGACGACGCCATACCAAGTCATGGCGAATGGCCTCGTCGAGAAATTCAATGGCACCTTGAAGATGATGTTAAGGAGAATGTGTCAAGAGAAACCAAGATCATGGGACAGGTACCTCGCCCCGCTGCCTTTTGCGTACCGAGAAGTACCAGAGGCAAGCCTCGGGTTCTCTCCCTTTCAGCTTATCTATGGTCGACATGTCCGAGGACAGCTGACAGTATTAAGACAGCTGTGGATGAATGAGAACTCGACGGAGAAACACGGACAACATACACGTATGTCTTTGACTCGCGGGATCGGCTGGAGGAGACGTGAAAGATTGCGCACGAACAATTGGAAAAAGCTCGCGCCAAAGTGGACGACGAGCGGGCTGTGTCAGAAGAGACATGTTTTGCGCGAAACTCATCAAGCGCTACTTGGAAGGGGAGTTGGCCATCGAACATGTCGTTCAGGGAGTACGCTCGATCGCGACACAAGAGATGGACAACCAGCGGCAGGCTGTAGACTTGGCCTTGAAGGGGATTCTCTCGCTGCTTCTGCGTATTGGCTTGAACGAGAACACAGCCAATCACCTGATTGACCTTTCCATCACCTTGGCAAGGGAACCTGACTTGTGTTCGGGAAGCCTGCTTGTGCTGCTTCTGTGCGACGTTTTCGATAGCTTGCCCCTCAACGAAAGCGAGGAGTTTTTCAGCCTCATGGAGGACAAAGTCAGCATCTGGAAAGAGGAGCTGTTCTTCAAGTGTTGCAAGAACCAGCTGCTGAGGACATGCAATGACTTGCTTCGAAGGCTGTCGAGGTCCCAGAACACCGTGTTTTGTGGAAAGATTCTTGTCTTCTTGGCCGAGCTGTTCCCTCTTTCAGAAAGTTCTGGTTTAAACATTGCCAGTGAATTCAATGCTGAGAACATCAGATTGTTCAGCTCAGAGGACTACATGAGTCGTGCTTAACTTGTAGCAACACACTCAACCGCACAAACTGGAAAGCGTGCTGTGAATTAACTCTCTTCCCGCGCGCCTCTTTTAGAATAGTTGTAAACAGCTTTCTTGAAAAAGGGAGTATTGTCATAATATATGGTGCGCGCGGGTTGAAATGTGCAAAAACAAAACAGTATGCCGTGGGGTGGCGACTTGTGTGGCCTTTTGAATGTGTGCGCCGTGCGGGGGCAAAGAGGACGGCGATCGTGTGCGCGGCGTGTCTAGAGAGAGCGTGGACCGTGCACGAGAGTCCGAATTGCAAGGCTGGGCTCTCCTTCGCTGGGCGTCCGGTCCATGGGAAAACCCGGAGCCCTACCTCCTGCTGCCTCGAATTAGAGTGCTCCCGCCTGTTCCTCTAAAAGGAGATCAGGCCAGGGAACGTGCACGAGGCTGGGCCAAGGTCTTGACGCTGTGGGCAGACGGGCACACTCAGAGTTCGGCCCACGAGCACGCACAGGCCGAGGGCGTCCACCGTGGAGCGGCTCCCTTGGGCGCAGAGTTCCGGCATCAACGGCCACAGAGTGGACCTTCTTGACTTCACGCGACCAGACCAAACACCGAGCTACGGAATCGGACAGACGGTCTACACAAGGCGCTTTCAACTCGGCAACTTCATCGGCTCCGACAACAAACTGTACGCTACTGCTTGACTATTTCGCGTAACAGCCCTCATGTCAAATTTAACTGTTTTTCTCTATTTGCTGAGTCTTGTCATGTGTGTGAAGGTGTCTTACGCGTGTTTGTCCACCTGCGTGCTGCGTTATTCTTTCTGGAGCGAATCCTGAACCCACGTTAACATCACACAAACTACCCAGTAGTTACGTTATTCGCATTATTTGTTTTCCGGTTGCTATTTACTCTTCTACCAATCTA